CTTGGCCTCCTGTGAATAGAAGGACTATAGAATATAGTTTCTCTATTCTAGAATTATTCTATTAAATATATATTCTAGAATTATTCTAGAATCTAGAATATTCTATTCTGTTCTGTTCTGTTCTGTTCTGTTCTGTTCTGTTCTGTTCTGTTCTATTCTATTCTATTCTATTCTATTCTATTCTATAGAACAGAAACAGAATAGAAGGACTTCTGGTGAGATGGTGACGCAAGAGGCTGCACGCATGTGAGCACCAACTGATAATTTTAAATTTTGTACCATAAACATCGAGGAGTTTTTTTTAACTGAAGCACATAGCATCAATATCAACCGTGGTTTGACTGTGACAAGCTAAGTTATTGCGGAAGTGATATGCCGAGAACAATGAATGTAAACTAAAGGTGGAACTCCAAGCCTCTTATCTCACAAAACCTATTTTAGCTCTCCCAACTATAATACAGGCAGCCAGTTAGTAAAGCTGAGAATACTTACTGCAGGAGGATGGAAGAATGACTGGGAACATAATGAGAAGGAGGGCTGTTATTATTATTTAAATACTTAAAATGGTCCTCACAAGAAGTGGCTATCATCAAGTAGGATTACAGCCAGAGACTGCAGTAGCAGAAGATTATAAAGAGGGAGGAAGCCAAGCCAAGATCTCATATTTTTTCCCCCGAACAAGACCCTCACCTAACTCTTCTTTGGACAATGGCTCCAATACCCCAAATGAAGGCCCTATAGTGAAGTCATTTCATGACTGGTCATTGGGCCTCACTGTATGTTTACAACGGAGCCAGTTGAAACTGGAGTAAACCTAGCCAAAGAATTTGCTCTCATGGATCAACAATCTTAGGCACTGACAATAAATGATACTCCTATAGAGAGGAATTGGACTATGCCGGGAGGTGAGGAGGCTGAGGATATAAATAACTCTCCAACTCCAGGCTTAACAATTGGAAATTCTAATGAATCATTAAGATTAGGTTTGCTAACATTAACAAACATATTTAGCAAACAACAACAGGATCTAAATAGCCTAGCCTACACTTGGGCGCAGGATATCTCCACAATGAAATCCTTTTTAGCAGAGTGTAAAGACCTACTACCGAGTTGATGGAATTGACACTTAAAACAATAAATGAAAAAGAACATAAACCAAAAGACACCCCCGTGGAATATCTACCAGCACAGTCGGCCATATTCTCAATCTTGAAGGAGAAGAGATAGAAATTATAACGGGGAAACAACAAATAAAAATACCAAGGGAGGCATTAAACTCAGGAAGAAGGCTAATACAAAGGGAAATCAAGTCAAGAAAAGTAAAAACATTAAAAGCCTGGAGTCTCGCAGATCAACAAACAAATTCAAGCTAAACAAGCTGCGGCATATCATGGAAACTGAATGCAAAAAGGGGAAACAATCAGAAAAGTCTCTGAATAGTTCAGGGAGAAAAAAGTGCAAATACAAGGAGAATAAAGAGAACCAGGTATCACAAAACAAATTAAATACAAAGAGTTGTAGGGGCAAACAAGTAAGCCCCGTCCAATTAGAAGCAGACAGTAAATGCATAGAATTTAATAAACACACAAGTTGATTCCAGCAAAGCTTCCTCTTTTAAGAACTATCCAATAAATATTGAGATTGAACAAAATACTTGGCATTTATAATTGATCCCCATTAAACTGACCTTTATTAACTATCCCAAACCTAGGGGTTTGCAGACCCAGTTTGATTGAAAAATACACGTTGTTCATCTGATGCAATCTTTAGATGTAATTGGCCTCTCAACAAAATATATAAATAAAGTTGAATATCTATTTTATAACTATATAAATGCCAGCGCAATCGTGACTTTTGAATCTATAGCAACGGCTAGTTTGGTGATGAAGAAAAAAAATGCATTAAATGTTCGATGGGGGTAATGAGAAACTTCCAAAATTACACACACTATGAAGTTTATAAAAACAACCTGAACCAATTAACAAATGGAGGATATTGAACATTACAACCTGGCTAAGGATAGTGAAAGAATGGAGCTGGGGAAAGGCTTAACTAGTGCAGAAGTAAACCTCCCAATAACACATGAATTGTCAAAAGAAAGATCTCTGGCAAAGCAACATACAGTAAACACTGTTAAGGATCATGAAGGGAGTTATACAAACTGACATAATCTGGAACAGCTGGTGATTCACTGAGCATCACGAAATCCCTCGCAAGCTGAGATGGGTAAAACAATGAAGATGAGTAGTGCAGGAGTTTATAAGACTCCTGCAGCAGTGCACAGAACAAAGCAGCCAGAATTAGAATTGAACTCAAGATACTTCAAGGAAGCCCAGGATGCAACATACAAGTTTATACCAAATATCCCTGGGTTAAAAATAATTGTGTTTACAAAGATACACAAGGAATGTAACACTTAATAGAACAAGTGAAATGGCCAGAGGATGATTCAAACACTTCAAAGAAAGGACCAGAGGCCAACAGATATGTCATACTCCAACACAACAACAATTTTGCAGGAGTAGTAGACAAAATAGTCATCAGATCCAAATCCAAATTGAGGTTAATAAACAGAGTTGACAAAAAACTAACACGAAGACATCTACAATCAAATGTACTGTATATCCTAGAACATTGCTGCATGGGCAGGTAAATGCACAGATGGGGATTTTTTTTCATTTTCTACAAGATTATGATACGATTTTTCTCCAAGAAACTTGGTTGATGGGAAATAATGTGATAGCATTACCTGGCTGTATGTGTTTTTATAAATGGGCCAAGAGGGACCAAAAGATGAGTCATGCTAAAGGGGGTTTAATGAGCCTAATTGCAGTACATCTTGATGTGCGAATAGAAGAAATTAATCCTGGAAATTATGATATAGATGAAATTCAGATACTGAGGCTGAAATTTAGAGGAGAATGTTAATGTGTGGTAACATCTACCGTATTTTTCCGTCAATAAGACGCCCCCATGTACAACACGCCCCCCACTTTTCCAACCCCAAATTAAATCAATATTTTAAAGACAGTGCAGAACACATTTTTATTTAGTAATTAGTTAACATTTACTTGATTCACTCGGTGGGAGGAGGTCCAAACCGT